CCCACCCCCCCCCGCTGGGGCTGGAGCCCGGACCCCGCCGTCCCGGGAGGGAGAAGGAGCGGGACACGCTTTTCCTGGGAAAAGGGGAATTAGCGTCTCCTTCCCCCAGCAGGGAGAGGGATGGGGGGGGGGGGTTCTGCCCCTCTGGGGAGACCCCCCCAGTGCTGCCTCCAGCTCTGGGGCCACCAACAGCAGAAGGACATGGAGCTGTTGGAGCGGGGCCAAAGGAGGCCCTGGAGATGCTGGGAGGGCTGGAGCCCCTCTGCTGGGAGGGGGGGCTGAGAGAGTTGGGGGGGTTCAGCCTGGAGAAGAGAAGGCTCCGGGGAGACCTTCCAGCCCCTTCCAGTCCCTCAAGGGGCTCCAGGGAAGCTGGGGAAGGACTCTGGATGAGGGAGGGGAGCCCTAGGAGGAGGGGGAAGGGTTTGACCCTGAAAGAGGGGAGATGGAGCTGAGATGTGGGGAAGAACTTGTTTGGTGGGAGGGTGGTGAGAGCCTGGCCCAGGTTGGCCAGAGAAGCTGTGGCTGCCCCATCCCTGGAGGGGTTCAAGGGCAGGTTGGAGGGGGCTTGGAGCAACCTGGTGTGGTGGGAGGTGTCCCTGCCCAGGGCGGGGGGTGGCACTGGGGGGGGCTTTAAGGTCCCTTCCAACCCCAAACATTCTGTGATTCTACAATTCCTGGGGCCAGCAGCCCCCCACCATGGGTAACAAAGCCTCCCAGTGTGAAGAGACCACTGGGACCGGCCAGACTCGCCCAGGAAAGCTCAAGCAGAGACTTGGGTGTTGATCTGGGAAAAGGGCATCCCAGCCCCTTCCCTCAGGTTCCAGCCTGGGGACAGTCCTACAGGCTTCAGGACTGGTTCCAAAGGCCACATAGACTTCCCTCCACAGCACAACAGAAGCAGGCTCCCATTTTGTTTTGTTTTGTTTTTTTTTTTTTTTCTCAAAAAGTTGTTTATTGAATTGTTCTTAATGTTATTTCCAAAAAAAAAAAAAATTCAAAATTTAGATAAAAAGAAAAACCCTGGTGTAAAATCAAAACTAACGTCTGAACCATGGACATGCTCTGATACACAACAGAACCGATGGCCCCCGGGGGCTCTCACAGCTCGTTGCTGCCTGACCATCCCTGGGTCACTCCAGAGGGACACCACGCGTGGTCCCCCCCAGCCCCCACCGCAGAGGACATCCCACGGCAGCGCAGATCCAGAGTTAAGGGAACCCCCTTCCAGCTACACACCCCACCAGGGAGGAGGAGGTTCGAGTCCTTCACTAAGATATGGGCAATAGTTTCTGGGGGAGGAGGAGCGCGCAGCCCGGGCTGTCCCCTTGCTCGGGGGCTCAGCACGCACCTCCCTTCTCTGCTCCCAGCAGCAGACTCCAAATTAAAGGGGTAAGAAAAGCCACCAGCTTCTGCTGAGTGCACCTCGGACTGGCAGCCAGGCCTCGGGGACGGATGGGCAGGTGAAGAGGAGATTTAACTCTCTCAAAAAGAGGCTATTTAGGAAAAATAAGCCAAGTGAGCGTTCAGTGACTATTTGGGACTATACACAGATGGCGTTTGCCTTAGAGACATCACACACATGTTGATAGATTTCCTGGCAAGAGCTCTTAACACAAGCCATACGTGGTTAGTAACTACTGGATCTGCTGGGTGGGCTTCCACAGAGCAGCCCACAAGGTAGCCAGGTCCTCCTAAGTCATGCCAGGGGTGACCAGGCCCTGGAGCATGATCATGAGGCGACGGGCCGGCTTGCTCAGCGTGTTGTGGGGTTCCACCTGGAGGAACTGGAAGAGCTTCTGCCGCACCTGATTCATGACTGACCCCATGTGGTCTCGGGTGATGGGGTCACTGTGGTCCAGGTGCATCACGGCTTCCTCCAAGTAACTGAGGGAGAGAGATCAGGGTTAGAACCAAACCCAGTGTGCAATCCCAACCCAATTTTAGCTCTGAAGATGCACGATTCTGCTCACCCACCCACCCAAACACAGTGCAGTAGAGTCAGCCATCAGAAAATAAACATTACTGACTCAGAGCAGTGTCCACCTATCCCTTCTTCAATGGGGTAACGGTTTTAAACTGAAAGAGGGGAGATGGAGCTGAGATGTGGGGAAGAACTTGTTTGGTGGGAGGGTGGTGAGAGCCTGGCCCAGGTTGGCCAGAGAAGCTGTGGCTGCCCCATCCCTGGAGGGGTTCAAGGGCAGGTTGGAGGGGGCTTGGAGCAACCTGGTGTGGTGGGAGGTGTCCCTGCCCAGGGCAGGGGGTGGCACTGGGGGGGCTTTAAGATCCCTTCCAACCCCAAACATTCTGTGATTCTATGATACATAAGGGCAACCTATACATTTCCCAGCCTGCAGTACACGCAGCACAACCCGGCTGCCTGAACCAAGCAGGCCCAAGAACAGGCCACAGCTCCCTGCAGGACTGGAGTTGGCACTTGGCCATGGGCCATGCATGGTCACAGGTCCCTACATATTTTCGTTGATGCCTTTTTAGGATAAGCAGAATTAGTCACTTATCAGACAGTAAAAATCCTCAAGCAGGGCTTTTCTTCCAATGTCTATCCAGGAAGGGGTGGGGGAAGAAGAAGAACTTTACCCACAAGCTGTTCTGAAGTTCAGACGAGCCTTAAACCTTCAAACCAGAGTAAAGCACTGGGGTGACTGCCAAAGGGTTTCACTAACAGACCAGCCTGAACTCAACAGCAGTAGCTTCAACTCCGATTACCAGCTCTTCTGCAACTTAAAGCTCTTTTTCATTTTTTTTTTTTTTAGCTTATCCCTATTGTCAACTTGAGTTAAAAATTCAATTTAAGTCTTTTTCCATACAAGCCAGTCAAAACCCGCTGGTATCTTAACAAGTTAGTTTTTTAGGGCAGATAACAGGGTTTTGACTCACTTGCTAAAAACATTCACGACAAGTATCAGCACAGTCACGGTTTTGTCACACAAGCTTTGCTTGGAACATCTAACAGCCATTACTTCCAGGAGCTCCTGCTGCCACCTCCCACGGAACCTGTCTGGCAGCCATGACCAGAA